AACCACTGACCTTAAGGTTCGCAGCCCGATTCGTAACCACTACGCTACCAGAGCTCTAGAACTCAATAAATGCTTGCTGGATAAATGGATAGAGATAAAGAAGCACTCTAGACCACTGTCTCTTCTGGCCTGCCCTTCTTGAATTGTCTTGAAGTCTGGATTTTCCAGAAGAGAATGTGTCAGAGTCCAAGGATCCATCCAAGGGTGATCAAAGTTAGTTCTTTGTTCTACACATAATAACAAGGGATATTTCAGACCTGGCCAGTTGAAACCAGAGAACAAAGCTTGGCCCTTGGGGAGCTCTGGGACAGTGGCAGCAGTGGATGGATCCTGATGTCTCTGTTCTCTCCTCTTAGGCTGTCATGTCCAGTGACTTCGCCATCTCCCGCTTCAGGCATCTCAAGAAGCTACTGCTCGTCCATGGTCACTGGTGTTATTCGCGCCTGGCCCGGATGGTGGTGTACTTTTTCTACAAAAACGTGGTAAGCCATTCTATGGGGACCTCTTACCAGGCATGGGACTTCTTGCAGTGGGCCTGACTCCCCCACAGTTATGGATAAATTGTCTCAGCAGAAGGTAATGAGTTAGGCTGACCTGGATTCTTAGTCTGAATTTGCCCCTTACTGGCTCTGTGATCTTCAGCAGCACAATTATCTGGACTCAATTTCTTTTCCATATAATGGGGCTAATACTCTCTGTTTTGTGATGTCATTATGAAACATTCACAACACTGTATGTGGCAGATAAAACATAGTATGGTTAGGAAAATGGACACTGGAGGCAGATGCATGGAGTTCAATTCTGGACTTCATTAATTCCCCAAAGCCTCAGTTTCCTCATCTGTAAAATAGGTATGATAATAGAACATTCCTCATATATTTGCCATGGGATTAATTGAGAGCTTGCATAAGAGGTGATCAGCATGCAGTAATCCCCGTAAATGGTTGTTGGTAGTGGTAGTGGTGGTGTGCAATGGATTCGGTTCTGACTCAAAGTGACCCTGTACAGGGTTTCCAAGGCTGTAAATCTTTACAGGAGCAGAAAGCCTCACCTTTCTCCCATGGAACACCTGGTTGTTTCGAACTGCTGACCTTAAGGTTAGCAGCCCAATTCATAACCACTACGCTACTAGAGCTCCTTCATAGATGGTTGTTGTTGTTAAGTACCGTGGAGTCAGTTCCAACTCATAGTGACCCTGCACAGGGTTTCCGAGGCGGTAAATCTTTATGGGAGCAGAAAGCTTCATCTTTCTCCCTAGGAACAGCTGGTAGTTTCGAACTGCTGAACTTGAAGTTAGCAGCCCAATTCATAGATGGTTAGGCATTGTTTTTAATCATCACTATTGCTACTATTACTCTTGTTGTTGTCATTGTTAGGTGCCATTGAGTCAGTACCGACTCATAGCAAGCCTATGTACAACAGAACGAAACACTGCCCAGTCCTGGACCAACCTCACAATCGTTGCCACACTTGAGCCCACTGATGCTACCACTTTACCAATCCATGTCGCTGGGGGTCTTCCTCTTTTTCTCTGACTCTTTTGGGAGTCTAAGTAAATGAGATCCATTTTCTGATTGCAAGGATAAGGCATTTGAAGAACAACTAATCTGACTCTAGTCTAAACAACTAGCTTAGATTTTCTCCCCAAGATAGAGCCACCCCAATGCAAGAGTTGTGCCCTAATCCTTAAGAGAATAAAGGTAAAAGCTCCTCACAGAATGTGGACCTAGAACCTATGACCTCTGCCTGAGACCCTGAGCATCATTTCAGCACCCAACAGGGAGTTCTGTAGGGCAGGATACTGACTAGTTTAATGTTACAGGTAGAAAGAACATCTGTACTCTAATTTTGCCTGACTTTATAGCATTCTGTGTGACCTTGGCAAGTTCCCTTAACCTCTCTGAGCCTCAATATCCCCATCGATAATATGAGCAGGGTATAACTGAGTTTCTTTGTCACTAGAAGTATTATCAAGAAGCTCTAGTGTCAAGGCTCTGGAAAGCACACAACACTAGATAAAGAATTATGTGAAGATATTACTGTGTCTCCTAAAATATGTCAGTTTCTGCCATGTTGATAAAGACCCAAAGCAGACACTCAAAGCAGTTATTAAAACTGCTAGAGGCTCCTGTTTGAAATGCCCTTGATTAACAATGGATATAAGAAGAAGTCAGAACATTGCTGTATTTGGGAGGGAACGAATATCTGACTTTTTTATTATCTAGTTCAAGGATCTTTGAATAATCCCTAGAGTCTCCAAATACAATCTGCTTTCTGTTTGCGTAAATAAAAAGGGAGGATTACCACCAGGGTGATGGAAGAGAAACATTAGCCAAGTAGCGGCTCCAGAATTGCATCTTTTCTCTTTCTGCTTTCCAGCTTTGTCCCCAGTTCTACTTTCCAGCTCTGTCACAGTTCCTCTCACTCAGAAGTGAGCCTTTCTTGCAAAGTTCAATGTATATGTAAATAAACAGCATGACAAAAAATAATGTAAATTGGATACACTGGATGGTAATATTATTTCAGCAAGTCTATGCAAACAAGTCACTCCATTTGATTTGAAACCCACTCTGAGGATAAAAGACTATTTACTTAGAATTCAAAATGCTCCTGTTTTCTGTTGGGTTTTGGGGGTGTTTTTTGGCCTCCAAAGGAATCATTCTTTTGAATAAGCACAACCTCTTCTCTACATTAAATTTGTGAAATAGAAAAGGAACTGCTTCCAACCAGCCATGCTTTCAAAGCTTAAATGATATTTATTTTCAGCCTGATGCTGTGCTTGAAATTGTGATACTGATGCAGAGCATTATCTCTCTTTTGCAATTAGAGAGTGGAGAACTATGGCTTCCACATCCGAAACCAATTTCAGAGGGGATTAAAGACCTGCCTGCTCTGAAATTTGAACAATGAATTAATTACTGCACTATAGCTTCTTGGGAGGAAGAGCAGGCATCTGATCTCAGCACTGCCGTCACTAAGTGGAATGTGCTCCTGGGGTGTAAAGACTCCATTGCCAACGAGTCCATTTCTTAGTGACCCTATAGGACAAAATAGAACTGCACTATAGCTCTTCCAAAGCTGTAATCATTATGGGAGCAGGCTGCTGTGGGACAGAATCGAAATGCACCATAATGTGCCCAAGGCTGTAATCATTATGAGAGCAGACTGCTATATCTTTCTCCCACAGAGCGCCTGGTGAGTTCAAACCACCGACCTTGCGAGCTGGCAGCTGGTCATTTAATCAGTGCTCATCAGGACTCCTTAAATCAATGTCCAGCACAGGGTAAACAACGAAATACAGTTTCCTATAGGTGAAGGATAAATCTTACTATCAATAAGTTATTTTTTGTGATCTTCAAAGAACCTAATTGAAGATTCCAAGGAAGTTGAGTCAGACAGGGGAAGTGGAAGACAAACAAGATCCTACCACCAGCCCCAGGAGGAAGCAAACACACTTTTTTCATGTTAAACTCCGGTATGAGTGTTAGTACAATTAAGAGTTACTTCATTTATTCACTTTCCGCCCCCCCCCTCCCCCCTCCAATATCTGCTTTGTGTCAGGAAGAACACTAAATATCCAAAAACTAGCCCCACTGCCAGCACATGGATTCCAATTCCTGGCAGCTTCATGTGTCACGGAGTAGAAATGCACTCCATGGAATTTTTTGGTTTTCATTTTCATTTTTTTGCTATAATCTTTATGGAAGCAGATCACTAGGTCTTTCTTCTGCAGTTACTCTGGGTGGGTTCAAAGTACCAACCTTTCTGTTAATAATTAAGCACAACCGTTTGCAATACCCAGGGATGAAAGAATACTAGACATTGGGTATATCAAGACAGACATGAGGCTTACTGTAAATCAGGGCTCAGCAAACTCTTTATACCAAGGACCAGATAATAAATATTTTAGGCTTTAGGGACCATACAGTCTGTGTTACTCCTATTCAACTCTGCCACTGTTGTGTGCAGACAATATGTAAACAAATGTGTAACTCTATTTCAACAAAACTTTATTTGCAGCTAGATCTGACATGCAGAACATAGTTTGTCAGCTCCTGATCTAGGTAAAATATACTATTCAAAATATGGGTCTTAGACTATCAACATTGGCATCACCTGGAAGCTTGTTATTAATGCAGATTCTCAGCCCCCACACCACCTTTCCAGGCCTAAGGCTTTTTTTGTTGTTTTAAATAAGATACCCAGGTTAACAAGGATGGTCCTGTAGGATAAGTTTTAGACTGCTAACCCACCAGCTGCTCAAACTCACCAGCTGCTCTGTGGGAGAAAGATGGGGCTTTCTGCTCATGGAAAGATTAATAGCCTCAGAAACCCTATACAGGATTGCTATGAATTGGAATCAACTGGGTTTAATATAGGGAGAAATAATTTAAAAAAACAACAACAAACATTTCCTGTGGAGCAGCCCCACAGAGAAAGTTCAGGTGCAATGTATATATAGTAACCAGGAGACCCTTAACCTAATCAATGAAGAAGAAGAAAAACAAAAAAACATTTAAACAGTGACCTGAAAGAATACTAGAAACAATATAATACAAATAATAACAAACAGATAGCCTCTTCCAAATAACATGGGCACAGCCGTTAGGAAACACAATTCTACCATGAACACAAACCTGCTCAAAGACTTCTAGCAAGATACTTTACCTCTCTGTGCCTCACCTACAGGAAACTAAGAAGATCAAGTTCAAACTGCTTATGTGACCTTGGGCAAGACATCAAATTACAATACATTAGGTACAATAATACTACCCCAGGCCATCTTGTTGTTGTTGTTGTTGTTGTTAAGTGCCTTCGAGTGGATTCTAACCCATAGCGATCCTGTATAGCATTTCCAAGGAGCAGCTGGTGAGCTTAAACCATCGACCTTGCAGTTCAAATGACTTTGCAGTCAGATGCATTAGCCCCCAGTGCCACACCAGGACTCCCAAGCAATCTTACAGGTAGGGAAAGAGTGGAAAGAACTTTAGAAAGCAACATGTCGGTAGAAGATTATATTCTTCCCTTTCTGAGTTACATAATCACTAGGAAAGTTGGTAAGTGCCATTGAATCAGTTCCTACTCACAGCAATTGCATAGAGTATTTCCAAGGAGCAGCTGGTGGGTTTGAACCAACGACCTTGTAGTTAGAAGAACTGTGCTGATCCTACAGCGCCACACCAGGACTCCATTAGGAAAATACTATGAAGTCAACCTTGGGGCAGTTCTCTTCCTGCCAGATTTCCTGACCACATCCCAGTCTTCCTCAGTGACATCCCTTTCTAGTATTGGTGGTTATGGTGGTGGTTATGTGCCATGGAGTCGGTTCTGACTCATAGCGACCCTGTACAGGATTTCCGAGGCATAAATCTTTACAGGAGCAGAAGGCCTCATCTTTCTCCCACAGAACAGCTGGTAGTTTCAAACTGACCAATTATAATGAACACCATTTTATTATGTGCCATGGTCTAGGTACTACCACTATCATCTGACAAGTGGCAGAATCACCTTCAGAAGGCTTGAGAATTTGCCCAAGATCACACTGCTAGTATGTGACAGAATTGGACCTTCAAAATGACGCAACTCTGCTTCCTAAGCCTGTGCTTTTAGTCATCATCCCTCAGACTCTAAAGAACATTCACAGCAGTAGTGTTAATTGTTAATTGTAACAGTAATGATAACAGCACTTACAATAGGCAGAGTTATAACAACCTTGTCTTACAAATGAGAAAACGAACACTCTGAGTGTAGGTGACATGTCTGTGCATCTAAGTAGAAATTGATGACTAGCTGCTCTCTGCCCACAGTGCTACGTCAACTTGCTCTTCTGGTATCAGTTCTTCTGTGGCTTCTCTGGCTCCACCATGATTGATTACTGGCAGATGATATTTTTCAATCTCTTCTTCACCTCCTTGCCACCTCTCCTCTTCGGAGTCCTCGATAAAGACATCTCTGCGGACACACTCCTGGCATTGCCCGAGCTGTACAAAACTGGCCAGAACTCTGAGGTAAGGAGCTCAAGCAGCCAGGAGAGGTGGCATCTCCCTGTCCTCCACTCCTTACTGGAGATGTCAGAGAAAGAGCCTTAGGCTGTGGACTAGGAGTTGAGTTCCCATATGACCTTGAGTAATTCCTCTTCCCTTTCATGACTTCTCATGTACCATCAAGGGTATTGGACTAGATCAATGGGTAATGTTTCTTTGTAATTTAATTACATCGGACATTAATTTGGGGCTGCCCTGGTAGCGTAGTGGTTACGAATTGGGCTGCGAACCTTAAGGTCAGCGGTTTGAAACTACCAGCCTCTCCGCGGGAGAAAGATGAGGCTTTCTACTCCCTTAAAGATTTACACCCTCGGACACCCTGTACAGGGTCGCTATGGGTCGGAACTGACTTGACGGCACTTAACAACAACAACAACTTGTTGAAGGGTATCAGGGGACATGCAGAAGGACCCCAGGCCTCCCTCTTCTCAGAGGCACATCTCAGGGCCCAATTCCTGTACTAGCAGCCAGTTTCCTCACCACTGGTTAACCAAACCAAGTTGATTCTGACTCATGAGACTGCCCCCATGAGTCCGAGTGGAACTATGCTCCATGGGATTTTTCAACAGCTGATCTTTCAGAAGTAGATCACCAGGTCTTTCTTCCAAGGTGCTTCTGAAAGGACTCAAACTTCCAGCCTCTTAGATAGCAGCCAATGAAGGCAGCAATGAAAATATGGGCCAAGTTCGACCCATAGACTCCACGTTCCATAGACTCCTGTCAACCTGGAGATGACAGAGAGAAGAGAAAGGGCTGGTTGGTCCAAAGTGTAGTGAGACCTGGGGACTCCTGAGCCCACAGACAAGGACATAGCCACAGAGGGCTAGAGCTGACAGCAAAGTGTCCAGCTGATATAAAGTGAGGGAGATGCACAAGAAAGCCCACACTTGTAGATAATAACCATTCGACCTAGCTTCGATTGTTTGATGATCAGAACTCAACTAAAGGAAGATAAAAAAAATATAAAAAAGCCATGCTAGAGCCTGGTGGAAACTCCAATACTATGGACCTTGGACACCCTTCTAGTCAGGAACTCAACTCACTGGCCATGGTTCAATTTTCAGTCAACCAATCGAAGTCTATAAAAGGAACACCAACACTAATTAGGTATACACACCTTATAATAATCAACTATTTGAGGTCAAAAAGGCAGAATATGCCCAAGGACAAAGTTGAGAAGGGTTGGGCAAAAAGAAGGAATGGAAACAGAGAACACAGACAGGAAGTGGAATAAGTGATGTTCCATTGAAGGGATTGCAATCAGTGAAATGAAACAACACGTGTATAATTTGATGGATGTAAAACTGATGGATGGCTCAATTCATAATAAAATGTTTTTTTAAAAAAAAAGGCTTTTTTTTTTTTTTTTGCCTTGGGTTGGTTTCCACTTCTTGTGGCCCTTGCCCGGGTTTTCGGAGGTTTTAATTTTTTTTGGGGGCGGAAGGCTGCTTTTTTTTCCGTTGGACCGGTTGTGGTTTTGGAACTGCTGACCTTGCGGTTCGCAGCCCGATTCGTAACCACTACGCTACCAGAGCACCTTAGTACTTAAGATTTCTAAATGGTCTAGAATTTGATCTTCTCAAGTAGACATGGTACTATGTGTTCACTGGAACCAAGAAGGCCTGAAGAACATTAGGGATAGCTTCGTGGAAGGCCCAGAGGTCACCCTATGATTTGAAGAAGTGAGACAATGGATACTGCAAGCACCCAGATGAACACAAGCATGAACGGGGTGGGAGATGGAGAGGGCAACAGACTGCCTAAGATAAGGAGCACCAGGAAAGGGGACAAAGAGTATGTTTGCACTTAGGTAAAGGAGAACAAATTAAGAGGTAGTGTTTGAGAACTGGTGACTTTGGAAGACAGTCAACAAAGAACCAAGTCTGTTCCTAACCCAAAGACTGGCAGGAAAAGCAATATAGCAACACAAGCGGTTAAGGCAAAGAAGGGGTACAGTAGCACACACATATCTTGGGCTCTTTGAATGTTACCCTTCCCATGGAATTTCTGACTGCATAATTTGTCCCTTGAGTCTTTAATTTAACAAGAAGTTACTGTAAAAAAAAAAAAAACCACATAATCATATCAATTTATGCAGAAAAGGCATTTGACAAATCTAACATTCAAGAAAAAAAAAAAAAAAAAAACAATAAACAAAGTGTCTTCCCTGGGAAGACACAGAGAAGGAAGTATGAAATGAAAAGACTTGTCCCTGAAACCCCTAGGTTCGGTCTTTTGGGAACCAGTGATCTTGGCTTGAAATTGAGAACTTCCATGCAGATGCCATTTGGAACCTCTAGAATCTCTAAACTTAATACATTTGCAATAGTACTCATAATCATGCTAATGAATTGTGTGTAATTGTTGTTAATAATTAACTAAGAAGCTGGATTATATGAAGAAGAACATAGCATCAGTTTTGGAGGAAGATTTATTAACAACCTACGGTATGCAGATGATACAACCTTGCTTGCTAAAAGCCAAGAGGATTTAAAATACTTACTGATGAAGATCAAAAAACACAGCCTTTGGTATGGATTGCACTTCAATGAAAAGAAAATAAAAATCCTCACCACTGGACCAATAAATAACATCATCACAAGAGAAAATATTGAAGCTGTCAAGGATTTCATTTTACTTAAATCCACCATAAACACTCATGGAAACTGTAACCAAGAAAACAAATGATGTGTAACATTAGGCAAATCTGCTGCACAAGACCTCTTTAAGGCGTTCAAGAGCAAAGATGTCAGTTTGAGAACTAAGATGTATATTTTCAATAGCTCCATATGCATGTAAAAGTTGAACAGTGAATAAGGAAGACTGTAGAAGAATTGATGCATTTGAGTTATGGTGTTAGAAGTGCCATGGACTGCTAAAACAAACAAATCTGTGCTGTAAGTCCAGCCAGAATGCTTCTTGGAAGTCAGCATGGGAGACTTCGTCTCTCATACTTTGGACATGTTATCGGGAAGGACAGTCTCTGGAGAAGGACATCATGCCTGGTAAAATTAGTGAAAAAGAGGAAGACCCCCAACAGGATGGATTGGCACAGTGGCAGCAGCAATGGGCTCAAGCTTAACAATAATTGTGAGGATGGCACATGACCGGACATTGTTTCATTCTGTTGTGCATAAGGTTGATATATGTCAGTGCCAACTCAACAGCACTTAACAACAACAACTTATAGGTATAAAAGCACAATCACATTTGATCCTCTTGAAACCCAAACCAAGCCAAATTCATTGCTGTCGAGTTATCTTCTTACTCACAGTATAGGACAGAGTAGAACTGCCTCATATCATTTCCAAGGCTGTAATCTTTATAGAAGCAGACTGCCATATCGTTCTCCCACAGAGTAGCTAGTGGGTTTGAGCTATCAAACTTTAATTTAACAGCTGTTGTTTTAGACACTGTATCACCAAGGGAATAGGGAGTATTATTTTTATCTTCATTTTAGTGAAGAAGAAATGAATTTTCAGAACAGTTTAGAGATGTTTACAGGATCACATTGGTGAAGCTTGGACTTAGGCTAAGGGCTGCTCTTAATCATTCCATTCTGTTGCCTCTAAGATAAGAGGCATCCTACTAGCCATATTGTTTGCTCCCTAGCATGTACTGAAAAGTATCTTGCAAGAATAGAGGTTTGCTCTGCGGTGGTAACTATTGGCATGTTCTTTCTTGGTAGTACTACAGCCTGTCAACTTTCTGGATTTCCATGATGGATGCCTTCTACCAAAGCCTCATCTGCTTCTTTATCCCTTACCTGGTAAGTCGTAGAGACCCACTCTAACCATATAAATTACTGGGTGGAACCTATTCTGTTTAATATGCAAATTTGAACTTGCATTTTCTTTCTGAATAAAGCATCCAAACAGGTGGCCTGTGGGCCATATCTGGGAAAAGTCAGACCACTTTACTTAGATATCTCAATTTCTGACTATTCTTAAAATTGAAAGATATTTTTACGCTGGGTTGTTCTTCCCTCGTGGCAAAAAGCTGGGGTTGACTGGCAGCTCTACTTATATGAAGCACATGCTTTCCAGTTTGCCAAAGTCCCTCCCACTCCCCTGTGTCTTATGCCTATTCTTCACTCACTGATTATTTCCTGCTTGACCACTGAAGATATCTGAAGGTATTCCTGCTTCCAAGGTCAAAGCAGCAAGAGGTCAGGAGGCTGAGTTCAAATTCTGAGAGAAGGGATACTGCATTATCTGAAATAAATAGTAAGAATTCAGATAGGAAGGGATATCAGCACCATCTTAATTTGGTTCCCAGTTTGAATAGAAAGAATTGAGATAGTGAAAAGATACCTGTATTCCTCCTGCCTGGGGCCAGAATGTGGGGTACTTGCCGCAGGTACCAGTCTCTGGGTATATATTCTTTTTCAATTAGCACCAATGTTTGAATTCCTTTGTTTACAATATCCTTTCTGACCAGGTCTCTTTTACCTTTCTTGATTCCTCTTATTTATCCCTGACCTTTTGTCCCAGACCTAACATACAAGACAACTCGGAGTTCTGTAAATCCGCCATTCTCACCTTCAGTTCTGACCCTAGTTTGGAATGCCTTTCCCCTCTTTCTTGGGCTGGTTTACACCTTCTTTTGCCTGTCTCAAGGGGCCCTGATGGCACTGTAGGATATGAACTGGACTGCTAACTGCAGGGTTGGCAGTTCAAACCCACCAGCCATTCTGCAGATGAGGCTTTCATTCCTCTGTCTGCTCCCATGAAGACTTATAGCCTTGGGAACCAGAATTAATTCAATGGAATTGGGTTTGATTTGGAATTTTTTTTTTCTAGTCTCACCTGAGATAGCCCTCTTTTGTGCTTCCAGTATATTATTTACTTGCCTCTAGTGCAACCCTTAAAGAGCTCTGAAGTGTAGTGGTTATGAGTCAGACTGCTAAATTCAAGGTCAGCAGTTCAAAACTACCAGCCGTTCTGCAGAAGAAAGATGAGGCTGTCTGCTCCTGTAAAGATTTACAGCCTTGGAAGCCCTATGCAGGGTCACTATGAGTCAGAACCAACTTCACAGCACACCACCACCACCACCAGTGTAACCCTTAGGAATCCTGGTATGGTGCTGTAGGATAAGCATTGAACTGATAACCACAAGGTCAGCAGTTCAAATCCACCAGATGCATCTCAGAAGCCCTATGTTGTTAAATGGGGTTGAGTTGGTTTGGACTCGTAGCAACCCTGTATAGGTCTTCCAAGGATACAGGTTCACTATGAATCAGAACAGACATAATGGCACTTAACAACAATAATGGCATTGGAACCCTTATCCCCTTACTTGTACCACATCTTCCTGTATTGATAGATTGTAAACTCTTGGAAGACAAACATGGACATTTACTTAGCAATTAGCATGGTACCTGGTTCTCAATAAATTCTTAAGTCATTCAGTGCACAATGTTTTTGGAGCACCCATCTGTGTCTTCCTCTGGCAACCATGTTCCTAATTTACTCCTATCAATTCTTTCCTCTGCTTAGTCTCTTCCTTGGGGTACTTCCACATGGATAGCGGCTGAGTACCATCTTTCTCCCTGTCTTTCATCTTCTCTTAACACTTGACTTCATTGATGTTCTACAATCAACAGTAAAAGCCAAAACCTTGCTCCTCCATGAACACAGCTGATGATGCCTGTTTGCATCTCTCTGCAGACCTACAAGGACTCTGATGTTGACGTCTTCACCTTCGGAACACCCATCAATACCATCGCCCTCATTACAATCCTTTTGCACCAAGCAATGGAGATGAAGACATGGGTAAGAGTTGCTGGGCCCTTTTGGTTTAAAAATTGGACTCCTGTTCTTTGACCCTATTCATGATTCTGAGATGTCTAACTGAGCCCCTACCTATGTCCTACCAGAATAGGGAACTAAGTGGTGTAGAGGAAAATTCCTGACCTTAATCTGCTTATCATCTTTCAAGGATGATAAAATTGACATATTTGAAATAGTGAGACAATCAGTTGAAAAAAGTTTCTGGTTACTTTCAGAGAAAAGAAAGCATTAGAAAAGTACAAACCAGGCTCGTTAATAAATGTTGTTATCATTTATTAAGTGTCGTTGAGTCAGTTCCAACTCATAGCCACCTTGTATAAGGTTAGAAATGTTCTTATACATACAAGAATGTTCTTCTTTTTGTAAGTGCTGGCTGTCAAGTTGGTTCTAACTCATAGTAAGCCTGTATAGAGTTTCCGAGGATAGGTTTGAACTGCCAACATTGTGGTTAGTAATCCAGTACTTAGCCTACAGTGCCACACCAGGACTCCCCAATAGTTACTAGTAATTTCTGATGCTCTTGGGAAAGGAGCCAGTTGCTCAAACCATTAGGAAAAAAAATATGTTTCCATTTTTTAAAGTGCTTGAAGTAAAGGTGGTGGTGGTTATATACTGTGAAGTCGGTTCTGACTCATAGCAACCCTGTACAGGGTTTCCGAGGCTGTAAATCCTTACAGAAGCAGAAAGCCTCATCTTTCTCCGGTGGAACAGCTGGTAGTTTCGAACTGCTGACCTTGAGGTTCGCAGCCTGATTTGTAACCACTATGCTACCAGAGCTCCTTTGAAGAAACAAGAGAGCCTTTATTTTCTGTGTAGAAATCTAACATGACCTGTAATAGCTGGGTCCATTTTCATTGTCCGCACCAAAGTAACTGAAAATGTTAGCTAACTCCTTCCTCCTTCAGGAATGAGCTGAGTTATGAGGCTAACTTCTCCAACTGAAAATACTGCCAGGGGTGAAAGGGGAAGGGTTGTAGAGTGTGAACTACTTAAAATCCTGAGAGATCTGATGAGATAATAAGGCCCCAAATCTGGGGGTGGAGGGAGCTGAGATAAAACTTCTGTCTTTGAAGGTATTAGCAGTCCTGCCCAGTATGAAATTTGTTTTTGGCAGACTTAATGAGAGAAAGGTCCAGAAATCAAAATTCACACTCCCTAGGTGGAGGATCTAAATAGAGATTCTGCCCTTATTAAATTGTTGTTGTGAAATGACATTGCGTCAGTTCCAACTCAAAGCAACCCTGTATAGGGTTTCCGAGGAGTGGCTGGTAAGTTTGAACCAACGACCTTGCAAATACCATTCTAGTATTTATTCAAAGCATCATATCAAAAGTCCATTATTAAATTGATTGCATGCCATGGAGTCAGTTCTAACTGACAGCAACCCTGTATAGAGTTTCTGAGGCTGTAAATCTTCACAGAGCAGAAAGCCTCATCTTTCTCCAGTGGAGCAGTCAGTAGATTCAAACTGCTGACCTTTCATATAGCAGCCCAACTTGTAACCCACTGTGCTGTGAAGTGCTGTCAAGTCAGTTCTGACCCATAGCGACCCTGTATGGGATTCCTAAGAGCAGCTGGTGAACTTGAGCTGCTGACCTTGCGGTCAAATGACTTTGCAGTCTGGTGCATTAACCCATAGTGCCACACCAGGACTCCTAGAGCTCCTTAAAATTATTTTCATAGCAATGTTGTTGTTGTGTGCTGACAAGTCAGTTCTAACTCATAGCATTCATACATAGGATTTCCAAAAAGTGGCTGGTGAGTTTGAACTGACAACCTTGAAGTTCAAACTGACCTTACAGTCCAGTGCTGATCCTACAGCACCACACCAGGGCTCACAGCACCACATTGTTATTGTTAAGTGCCGTCAAGTCTGTTCTAACTCATAGCAACCCTGTGTAATGTTTCCAAGAAGCGGCTGGTGAGTTTGAAATACCAATCTTGTGGTTTAAATGAACCTTGTGGTCCAGTGCTTTACCCCACAGTGCCACACCAGGACTCCAGCACCACATGGGTGGTAGTGGTGGTTATGTGCCATGGAGTCAGTTTCAACTCACAGCGACCCTATACAGAGTTTCTGAGGCTATAAATCTTTATGGGAGCAGAAAGCCTTATGTTTCTCCCATGGAACAGCAGGTAGTTTCGAACTGCTGACCTTGAGGTTAGCAGCCTGATTCATAACCACTACACTACCAGAGCTCTTTCCATACCATATTGGTGGTGGTTATGTTCCGTGGAGTTGGTTCCATCTCATAGTACAGGATTTCTGAGGCTGTAAATCTTCATAGGAGCAGAAAACCTCATCTTTCTCCTGTGGAACAGCTGGTAGTTTCGAACTGCTGACCCTGAAGTTAGCAGCACGATTCGTAACCACTATGCTACCAGAGCTCCTCAGTACCACATTGTTGTTGTTGTGTGCCGTGGAGTCGGTTTCAACTCATAGCAACCCTGCACAGGGTTTCCAAGGCTGTAATCTTCATGGGAACAGAAAGCCTCATCTTTCTTCCTTGGAACAGCTGGTAGTTTCGAACTGCTGACCATGAGATTAGCAGACTGATTCATAACCACTATGCTACCAGAGCTCCTTCAGTACCACATTGTTGTTGTTGTTAAGTACCTTCGAGTCGGTTCCGACCCATAGCGACCCTGTACAGGGTTTCCGAGGGTGTAAATCTTTACGGGAGTAGAAAGCCTCATCTTTCTCCCGCGGAGCGGCTGGTAGTTTCGAACCACTGACCTTAAGGTTCGCAGCCCGATTCGTAACCACTACGCTACCAGAGCTCCTTAGTACCACATTAGGACCCAAATAATACCAACACTTTCAGGGTTAGAGGAAATCCAGAGGTGGACCTGCCCATGAAAGTTCACCCCACAGGACTACAAGGATTGTCTCCAGAGTACTAAACAGAGCAGGATTAGCAGCATAAAGAATCTGCCTTGAGAGACTGAGACCATGGGCTGGCCTCACAGAAGTTTTCAGCCCTGGTTCATATCACCTGGATGATCCACATCTCAATCTATGAATTCAGTTTAAAGTGGTTTCCAATGGCATCAAAAATAAAAAAATCCACAGATCCTCCCTATAGAAAAGTATCTTCATCCTAAACCTCAAATTGTATCACTAATAACTTTTTGATGGGCAATAAGCAGTATACATTTACAGACAATCAAGCTTACAGGAAACAAAAACCCATGTGTAAGGATCAATGGGAAACACATCAGAAACAAATTGTTCAGATACTAGAATTAACAGATATAGGTCATAGAAAAGCTATGCTTTCAGTGTTTAAAGAAATAAAAAACAAACTTGAAAATAAATCTGTAGGGATTTGCAAGATGTACTATTTAAGATAACCCTCCCCTAGCTTCTGGCTTCCATTGTTGTTGCTACAACATAGCCTAACAGATTTGAAAACAGAACCTTTATGTATTTTTTAAATTCAATAAGTATAACTTAAATGTAATGGTTAACTTAAAAGTAGATTTGACACAGATGAGGGAAGAATTAGCAAATTTATCGAAACAAGCTATAAAGCAAGGAGGAAAAATAATGGAAACCATCAAAAAATATCTGTAAGTAGAGTGGAGTGGTACATGAAATGTTTAGCATACAGTTGATCAGAGTTCCAGAAGAAAAAGAAAAGAGAGAACAAGGCAGGGGTGATGTTTGAAAAAATAAAAACTTTGTTGAGAATTTTACAGAAGTTGGAAGGCATCAATCTAAAAATTCAAGATCCACAAAACTCAAGCAAGATAAATAAAAAGAGATCCACACTTATCATAGGGAAACTACAGAACACGAAAGAAAATTTGAAATCATAAAAGCAGAGTTTTAGGAGAGAAAGACTCCATCTAAGGAATAACAAATAAACTTCTCAGCAACAACATGGGAAACCAGAAAAGGAGAGTGCTGTCTTGACTGTTCTGAAAGAAAATAACTGTCAAACAAGAATTCTGTATCTAACAAAATATCTTTCAAGAATTAAAATGAAATAAAGCATTTTTCAGGAAAACCAAAATGGAGAGTATACTATCAGCAAATCTCCATTCATAGAAATTACTAAAGATTATACTTCAGGGAAGACAAAAGTAATCTCCTTAAGGACAAAGTTGAGAAGGGATGCGATGCGAAGGAAGGTGAAATGGAAAAAGGAACCACAGGGAGGAAATAGGATAACTGTTGTTGCACAGAGGAGCTTGCAATCGTTAAGTTGAAACAAAGAGTGTGATTTGTTGAATGTAAAATTGATGATCTCTGTAACCTTCACTCAATTCACAATAAAAAAGTTTAAAAAAAAAAAGAAAGTCATACCAAGTGAAAAATCCAAGATCCAAGAAGGAATGAAAGCATAGAAAGTGGTTACCATTTGGATTGTCATATTGGATAACGGTAACAATGATCTATAAGATTAAAAATTGATAGGTTTAAAATATACTGCAGTCCTGTTGTAGGATAAGCACTGTACTGCTAACTGTTCAAATCCACCACCTGCTCCTTGGAAACCCTATATTGGGTCGCTATGAGTCAGAGTCCACTCAATACCACTTAACAACAACAGCAACAATAACATATCAGTGAGAAGGGAGGTGAACAGAGTTAGTTATAATTTAGGTGGAACAGGTAGTTGTAAACTTTAGTCTGTGGTAGGTTATGATTGCATGTTATTACTTATTGCATAACCACTGAAAGGATAAAAATGTACTGCCTAATTTCCAAAAGGGGGGAAATGAAATTATACAGAGTAGTCAGTAAGTTCAAAAGGAGACAAGAATGCAAAGTCAGAAGCACAGGACAGGCAAGACAAAAATAAAATCAGACAATAGAATATTACACTACTTTGAAAATGAATTAACTCCAGCTACATGGGGGTAAAATAGATCCATCACACAAATACAATATTGAGGGAATACTGATTTTTAAAATCACACAGAATAGAATTCTATTTACCTGACATTTGAAAGCAGGCTAGATAGGGAAGCATAGATGGTAAAATTGCATGGAATTGTATGGAGATTTTCATCACCCAAGTCAGGAGAGTGGTTGGCCCCACTTGAAAAGGTGAGTTTTGGGGAAGAAGGCAATATTCAAATTTTGAGTGTTTAAAATATGTTCAAATTCATATACATGTGTTCAGAAACATGGGTAATAGCTCTATAATAACCTACTAAACTGCACACTTGCATTATTTTTCATTATATGTGTTAATTAAGAAAATATTAAAACAATGTTAGCCAAGTAGTATTTTACACTGTTGCACTACCCCTAATCTAAGTTAACTCTTCAATAGTGTGCACTTCTTCTTTCCCTCCACAGACCATTGTCCATGGACTTCTCCTCATCTCCAGCTTCCTGTTATACTTCGTAGTATCCCTAGTGTACAACGCCACGTGTGTCATATGCAACAGCCCCACCAACCCCTACTGGGTGATTGAAGACCAACTGTCAGACCCCACCTTCTACCTCATCTGCTTCCTCACACCAGTTGTGGCTCTTCTCCCAAGGTTTGAGCATGGGGGTGGTTTTTCCCCAGAACAATCACTCACTCCTTAATTAACCTAGCAGGAGTTTGACTCTTGCTAGGATCCTTGAGGTTATGGTTTCAAAGACAGGGCATGAGACCAGAAAGAACAATGAAGTAGGCGTCAAGGAACAAAGACTCTGGTCACAGATCAACCACACGGTATCAAAGTCACCAAATTTGGCATGACCTCAGTTACTTCTGTAAAATGGGAATAGGATTTCCTACCCTCCTGCCTTAGAAATGTTGTTGTGGGATTAGGAATCATTTTGAAAAGCATCTGGTCTTTTTAAATGAGCTCTGGAGTCTCACACTCAAATGTCTAAATGCTTACAGCAAGTCTGGTGAAGGATACATTGGGAGAAAGCTTTACCTTATCATTGCCATAAAGAAAGAGCAAATCTAGCCTTCCAAAGCTTCAGATTTTTCACAGAAATTGAGACTTCATATGAAACCACCAACTTATTCATATTACTCCAATTTGTAAAAAAACAAACAAAAAATACTGTGTAAGCCAAATAAATCATCCATGCTAGGAACTATTTCTGGCATACTCTGCCATCATCCACTCTTTTTGTTTTGGTCATCATCTAGAAGTTAGAACTAGGGTTCTGGTTGACCATGTTTATTAAACAGTCCCATTGAGGAATCAGGACTTGTCCGGAAGCCCCACACAACCACAGTAGGAACTGGATTCTCCCAACTCGGAGATCAGTGTTCTGTTCTCTAGCCAACACTTTCCTAATGAGAGAAAGTAGTGATCTTGAAAAGGATGTACCATAGGCAAGTCAGCCTCACTCAGTTTCCAGGATTATAGTACTCTGAATATAGGATCCAGCATTCTTATAACTATAATCTGTAGTCAACAAGTGATAGCAACACTGAATATAACAACGTAGAACTTTTTTCTGGCCCTGGATTAGAGATAAAGAAACCCTGGTAGTATAGTGGCTTGCACATTGGGCTGCTAACCACAAGGTCTGTGCTCTTGTAAAGATTTATAGCATAGGAAACCCTGTACAGGTTCACTATGAGTCAGAACCAACTTGATGGCACACAACATGAGTGGTAGCAGATTAAGGAGAGGGCCATTCTCAGACCTTGCTTACTTAACCTAGTTTGGTCAGTCCTGGTAGGATAAGCACTGGACTGCTAACCTAAGGTCAGCAGTTGAAACTCCTCGGAAATCCTATGCAAGGTCGCTATGAATCAGAACTGACTCGATAACACTTTACAACAACGAAACTACCTTAGAACATTGGCCTCTGATGTACAATCGCAGGCTGAACATACCAATATGGCAAATACTATGGAAGACATTGAATTCCACAAATGTTAGTTAAGTTCTAAGTATACATCATATGCATGGCCTCCCTGCTCGGCTCTACCTGTGTCCACAGCCTTATCTCCCCACTCCCTGCCTCAGACACTGGGTTCCATCACCAAGCTTCTTGCACTCCCTCAAGATCCCACATTCTGTTACCTTACTGTCTTTGCTCATTCTGTTCCTTCTGCTTGGAATGCCCTTCCCATACCTTTCCCAGACAAAACCTTTTTACCCTTTACATCATTTCAGGCATAACCAATTCCTTAAGCCTTCTCCTCAGGCTGAAACAAGGCTCTTTCTCGGGTGTTCCCATCACCTGGGTGTGGTAGCATAGTGGATATGAATCAGGCTGGTAACCTCAAGGTCAGCAGTTCAAAACTACCAGCCATTCTGTGGGAGAAAGATGAGGCTTTCTGCTCCCATAAAGATTTATAGCCTCGGAAACCCTGTGCAGGGTCACTATGAGTCGGAACCGACTCCATGGTAATTAACAACAACAATAACACATTTATTATAAATTAATAGTGAATCCCTGTCCATCAACTTCTTGAGTGAAGGACTCCTTTTTACCCTTCTATACCTAGCAGTGATCCCCATTCCTGTCGCTCAGTCTGCACTCAAGATAAATGAGTAATGGATGCTGAAGGTACTAGAAGCTAAAGCAGGATCCTGGTTCTCAAGAAACCAGTGAATGCTTCTGACATAGGTTTGACCATAATACATGGTAAGAGTGGTTAGGATCAACAGAACACCCTGAGAGTGGACAGTGAGAAGCTACTAAGAACAAGCATCAGGCCTCAGGGGATATATTTCCCATCCTACCCCTTCTGTACGGAGATCTGGTAGAATGTTGGGTTGTGAGTTGGGTTGCTGACCACAGGGTCAGCAGTTAGAATTTACCAGTCACTCTGTGGGAGAAAGATGAGGCTTGCTTCTTCCATAAAGATTTCCAGCCTCGGGAACCCTAGACATGGTCACTATGATTTGGAACTGACTCAGCACACCATCACCACCACTACTCCATCTTTACTCATTCCTGAAGAGAGAAGCTGGAGAGAGAGAGAGACCATGAGGATCATAGTCTCATTGGAAAAAGGCATCCAATATGTGATTACATATGTTTGTCCCCACTTTTCGAGCTAAACATGGTTGCAGTCACCACTGACCAAAGACTGAGCACCTCTCTTCTGTATCTTACTTGGGAGTGTGGAAAGAGAAAATTATAAATCCCATATTCTTAATCTGAGTCTTGCGTGTTGTTAGGTGCCAACTCATAGTGACCCTATGCACAACAGAACACTGCCCGGTCCTGCACCAACCTCACAATTGTTATGAGGTCCAGCCCATTGCTGCTATCACTGTGCCAATTCATCTCATTGGAGGTCTTCCTCTCTTTCTCAGACACTCAATTCTACCAAACATGACAGGGTTTTTACATGGCTAGATTGTCAGGTCCACCTTAATCTGGAAACTCTGGTGAAACTTGTTCAGCATCATAGTAGCGTGTAAGCTTTGCCTGGAGGGTAGGCAGTGACTGCATACTTGGAATCAAGCCCAGGTTGCCCACACTGTTGTTAATTCCCGTCAAGTTGGTTCCAACTCATAGCAACCCTGTATAGGGTTTCCAAGGAGCACCTGGTGGGTTTAAACTGTCAACCTTGCAGTCAGCAGTAAAGGGCTTATCCTACAGCACCACACCAGCATAGAAGGTGAGAATTCTACCATAGCAACTTGATAAGACTCCTTGAAAAGTATGGAAAGAATGTTGACACAATGCCTTGAAAAGACAGGCATTCAGCTTTGCCATTTATTAAATAGATGAGCAGCTGGTTAGGAAAAGCTCACAAATATTTACTTACTAGTTGCCATACTGAATGAGTTAAATCTGTGCTTGTTTTGTATTATCATCATAAAGTTGAATTTCTATTTACAAAGAAAGGCAAAGAGATTTTCTGATGGTGAAAGGATTATTTAATAATTACAAGAACAGTTGACTTGTAACCTTGAAATAATACTTGTTACAGAATTTACATGATAGAATGTTTGCCTTAGAAAACTGTATTTGTTCATTTAAAGTACTTAAACTGTATTTGCTGTGACCTATTATTTACCCTAATGTAGACTGATTTCACTCACCAGACTTGTGATAATTAGCCCACTAGCTATGACCTCACCAATCTTGGTCTAATTAAGTCAACCAATATAAAAGGACTATAGCATTTCTTTAAAACTAGGAACATTGCTCCACATAAGTTATATTACAGATAAAGCCAAAGTAACTAACAGGCTAACCATTAAACACAGTGCAGCACCCTGATTTGCTACATTAGGAGGTATTAGTCCCTGAATAATCTTCCATTAGTTTCCTCTACCCAACATCTTCAGTTGCTCTTTCTTTGTCTCCTTTGGTGGTTCAAAGATCTGGTATATATCAAGGCTTCATCCTAGGTTGTCTTCTAATTTTATATTTTCTCCATAGACATAGAAACCACTATTATGGATTTAAATATGTTTTAACAGACGATTCTCCAATTTAAATTCCTAGCCCAGACCTCTCTTCTGAATTCCAGATACATCATCTTAGCTACCTTTTCATAAAGTACACTTGCACATGTGAAGTTCAAGGTAACTGGGAGATGTCTATAAATTAACTTAGGGTTCCACCCTCTCTCTACCACCACCATCATCCAAGAAACCTAGGTCTCTTACAGAGTTCCTTCAGCACTCATGATCATGACAGCTTCTTAATCTGCCTCCTAGTGCTCATAGCTAGCCTCTCACCAAGTCCTAGCAGTTGTACTTGCTTTGTATTTCACAACTCCATCTAATAGTCTCACTTTTCAGCCACCACCATAGTATAATCTAGGTCACTTTCACCCCTAGGTTACTCCAATAGTCTTCCTGTTGGATCTTACTCTGCTCTATTCTCATTCCATCAAAATTGATTGTGTTGCCTATTCAAACCTTTCGAGGACTTCCCCAGGCTTCTAGAATAAAGGATGAAACCAAAACATGATTGACTCCTAGTCCTTGCCTGTTCTGGCTTTGCTGACCCCTTCTGTCTCATATGTCCACACTCTTGTCCTCACTCTCCACACTTTGGGCACCCTAGTTGGCTTTTCGTTATCACATTTCTTCTTCAGGGGAGATCTCCCACATCAGGTGTTTGGCACTTCATTCTTCCATCTGTTCATACTGTTTTCACATGCTACAGGAGAGCAAGAACCCTGCCTGTCTTGTTCACAGCTTAATCCCTAGATCCAAGTCCACAAGAGAGACCTGACAAGTAATTGTTGAGTAAGTGCATAGAGAAAGAAAATGGGAGCTTGGAGGAAAGGTTAAGTCTAGGAAATTCCAGTTTCCAGGCAAGAAACTGAAATCTTTCCTAAAATGCAAACAGGACCTCCTATACTTCCTCCTTGGACAAGAGGAAGTAGCTTGGGGAAAAGCTCATCTGACTCTGTGGAAATTACAGTCTCAGAGTCCCCTTTCCTTGGAGTTTCTTAGACATAGTGGAGAGATGGGAGCCTCTCTGCTTAAAAGCTTTCAAAAAAAAGAAGGGAGAGAGAGAGAGAAGATTAAATATGGAAAATACTTTAGATGTGATCTAGACCAGTTGGATTACTTTTTAGGTAAGGAAATTGAGACCCAGAGAGAATTGCTCAGTGTCACAAGACTGTTGTATGCTTTCTCTATACACTGCATAGTTTTATTCAACTTGTCTTCCCTTCCCTTTCCCAAGCTTAGAACAAGGAGAAGATTCCAGCTACAGATTGTTGTTGTTAAGTGCCGTGGAGTCGGTTCTGACTCATAGCGACCCTGCACAGGGTTTCCGAGGCTATAAATCTTTACGGGAGCAGAACACCTCCTCTTTCTCCTGCGGAACCACTGGTAGTTTCGAACTGCTAACCTTGCGGTTCACAGCCCAATTCGTAACCACTACGCTACCAGAGCTCCTTCCAGATACAGATAGAGACTCCTAATTCCAGAGTTACTCTACAAGCTACATGTAGCTTGTTGGGAGGAAAGAACCCTTGCTTAGCCATCGAGAGCTCCATTAACTGCTTGGGAGACTTTGGGAAACTCACTTCATCATTCTGGACCTCAGTTTCTTCAAATGGCAAATAAGGATAATACAGTGAAGTCAACATAGACCAAGGATTCAAGAAAACTTATGTATTTAGAAGCTACTTAAAAAAAAAAAAAAGTCCACAATGCAGGTGGTGGTGGTGTACCATGGAGTTGGTTCTGACTCATAGCAGCCTTGTACAAAGGGTTTCCAAGGCTGTAAATCTCTGTGGGAGCAGAACACCTCATCTTTTTTCCCGCGGAACAGCTGGTAGTTTCAAACTACTGACCTTGAGGTTAGCAGCCCAATTTATAACCACTATGCTAAGCAGGTTTTGTTGTTGTTAAGTACCGTGGAGTCAGTTCCGACTCATAGCGACCCTATACAGGGTTTCCAAGGCTGTAAATCTTTACGGAAGCAGAAAGCCTCATCTTTCTCCCGCGGAGCAGCTGGTAGTTTCAAACTGCCGACCTTGAAATTAGCAGCCCAATTTGTAACCACTATGCTACTAGATTTGCCTAAATTAGAGTAGCTCAGAAACAGAATGAACTTCCTCATGTATGATTGTTGGTGTTGTTAAGTGCATGTATGGTAGGTAAAGCCAAACCTTCTACATCTAGAGAGCTTGATTCTGACCACGGCTTGGCAACTGTGTGGCTCAGAACAAATTGCTGAGTCTCTCAGTTCCTCAGTTTCCTCATTTGTAAAAAGAGGAAATGAAGTACCAACCTCAAAAATTTATTGGGAGAATAAAATGAGTCAGTAATATGTCTAGCACTTAGAATAATCGGACACACCATAACTGCTACATAAATGTTAGCTCTTTTATTTCATTGTTGATGCCACTGCTGCTGTTGTCCTTAAGTTTCCCAATACCGGAAGGGCCCAGGCATAGATTAAATGGCTATCAATCAAGAGTGCTACAAGGAGGATCCTATTGTGGGTGGGGAGTTGGTTGCTAATGTTTTTGTCAATAGAGAAGTTCTAGAATCCGCAGAAATAAGAAAATGTATTTATTCTATCATTTCCCACCAGGTATTTTTTCCTGTCTATACAAGGGACCTGTGGAAAATCTCTGATCTCAAAAGCTCAGAAAATTGACAAACTCCCCAAGGATAAAAGAGACCTGGAAATTCACAGTTGGAGAAACAAACAGAGGCTAGCCCCTGTCCCTGGAGGGGCTCAGCCCCCACTCCATCCAGGGCCACCTGTCCCAGCACAGGATTTCAAAGCCAGCACATCAAAGAGTTTGCCCCCTGTGAAGCAGGATCACATGGAGGATTGGGCACTCCCCGAAGCCAGGTGCAGCAGAGACCACATGAGGGATGACCCACACGCAGGGGGCTTCTCAGCCAAACTCTCATCCGGAAAGCACCTTCTGGAGCCCACTAAGGCAATGACTCCTGAAACTTATCCAGATGGACAGACTGACATGTCCTGGCCTTCAAGCAAGGGCAGCCATCGCAGATCCCAGAGTGCACTGACCATCTGAAGGGTCCGCAGAAGTTTACTCAAACTTGCCCAATCACTGGCACAAGAAGCTGTCTATCTTCATAGAGTCAAGAATACTAAGTCTTACTCTTTTTCCCCACCAGACTTCTCTTCCTTAGAAGAATTTCTGGCCCCAAGGGGCTTGGATATAAAGGACTGGAAACCTGTCAGCCCCTCATTTCTTCCTGCTGTCAGGTAACAAACAAGTGATTGTGTAAGAAGGGAGTTTCGGTTCTACTGAGTTCTCGAATTTTTTAGCACAGAGACATTCTTCTGATCCTGTAGATAAATATTGCCTGTAACCTAATGGGACTTCTGGTGACGTGTTGTAGGATCAGCACTGGATTGTGAACCACAAGATCATGAGTTCAAACCCCTCAGCTGCTCCTCAGAAACCCTATACAGGATCACTATGAATCGGAACTGACTCAATGACACTTAACAACAACAGCAACAACATGACCTAATGCACAGGGGTCCCTTATTGGTACAGTGGTTAAAGTATTAAGTTGCTAACCAAGAAGAGGTCAGTGACTGAAACCTACCAGCCACTCTATAGCAGAAAGTTGTGGCAGTCTGTTACTGTAAGCTTCACAGCCTTGGAAACACTATAGGGCAGTTCAACTCTGTCCTGTCGATCACTATAAGTCAGCATCTACACAACAGCGATGGGTTTTTCAATGTATGACCTAATGCAACTGGAACATAAGTTGTCAACCTATCACTGCACCCCTCATTTCCAAGAGACAATTGGGCCATCTTGAATGTATTGTAATGAGGACTATACCAAAGTTAAAATCTCTTCCATTCACAGAGGGTTGTTGTTGTTAAGTGCCGTTGAGTCGATTCCGACCCATAGCGACCCTGTATAGGGTTTCTGAGGAGCAGCTGGTGAGCTCGAACCACCAACCTTGCAGTTCAAACAGCTTTGCAGTCTGGCGCATTAACCCACAGCACCACACTAGAACTCCCACAGAGAGTTATGTCTATCTTTTGTCTTTAAACCAAAGAAAACTACATCTAAAGATGAGAACTAGGTTTGAATTCAGTATTACAGATACTTCTGAGGGCTGCAGGGTTGTAGCTGGCATGACAGGCAGGGAGAAAGTGCATGCTACAGGAAACAGGTACACTAGAAACCCTATGTTTTGGCTACTAAACCATATGTTTCACAATCTGGGGAATCAGACAAGATGACATGTGCAGCACTCTTTTTTTAAACTTTGTATGTTATTTATTTAAAAATTAAATTACCCATCCTTATTCAGCTTGCAGAACAGGAACACTCTAATTTAGGGTATCTTAGCACATCTGCACTCAGAATAGACCCACATGAGAGAGCAACTCTGAGTCCAAACAATGACATCTTAAAGGGTAAGGTTAGCATTAAACCCTATTAATTCAGCTTGTCCCAAAATACCACCACCTGGTTGACATGGGTATATTCTTCATTTAAATTAAGGAGAGTCACTGGGAAAAGAAATGTTGTGTAAGAATTCTTATCCCTAGAGGTCAAAAATAATGGCAAAAAATATATAAGATCCTAAAACAGTGTTTAAATTAAAAAAATGGGTAATAGAAGTCTAACTTCAAAAGAAGCTACGTCTACTGTGGGCAAGGATAGCCTATCACTTGTCTTTTAAAATAAGTCAGGAAGGACTATTGTGTCATTCCCTTCATAAGCCAGTGCCTATATTAGGCAAAAGTACTGGAATAGATGGAACATATTTGGCAAGTCTTTCAGCATAAGAGCCATGGTCACCAACCATGGGTTGGTCTATTAATTGAGTCACTCTTGAGCAAAGATACCTTAAAGAGCTCAACATTCAAGTAAGAAAACAGCAGGCTGAGCTCTTTCTCTGGCTACCAGCCTGGCAAAGCTGGACTGGAAGGGCATTTAAAGCGTCAGTCAAGAACCCTGGATCTCTTTCACTACCTCTGTCATATACTGAAAGCAGTCCTAGCCACCTGCTAGGTATTCAGGAAAACCCTCAGTGAGGATCACTAAAGGAGGAGCAGGTAAACACACCAAAATAGTAAGGGGGTGGAGTCAGAAGTTGGATCTCTACATCCTCTCTTTCCCCATACAATTCCTACTTATTCCAGAAACCTAGAAGGAACCAGGCATCTGATGTTTCTGGAAAGAGCACAGCAGTTACCTTAGGACATCTGTATTGCAGTCTTTGCTTTACCTCAATCCTCTTTAGGAACCAGGAGTCATGAAACAGGATGCCATAGATTCAAATTAGGATAGAACAAACCTACTTCCAAGGCTTGACATAAGGATCAAGTCAAAAGTACATGTTGTTGCTGTTAAGTGCCATCTAATCGGTTCCAACTCATAGAAACACTATGTACAATATAACAAAATCCTGTCTGATCCTACACCATCCTCACAACAGTTGCTATGTTTGAGCCTATTTTTGAAGCCACTCCATCTCATTAAGGGTCTTCCTCTTTTTCACTGACCCTCTACCAAGCCTGAAGTCCTTCTCCAGGGATAGGTCCATATCCTGATTACATGTCCAAAAGTTTGTGAGACTAAGTCTCACCATCCTCACTTCTAAGAAACATTCTGGCTGTCCATCTTCCAACACGGATTTGTTTGTTCTTCTGGCAATCCATGGTGTATTCAGTATTCTTCTCCAACAACATAATGCATATGCATCAACTCTTCTCCAGTCTTGCTTATTCATTGTCTAGCTTTCACATGTATGTGAGGCATTTAAAATGTAATGGCTTGGGACAGGTGCACCTTAGTCCTCAAAATGACATCTTTGCTTTTGAAACTTTAAATAGCTATTTTACAACAAGTATACAAAGTGCAATATGTCATTTGTTTTCTTGATTGCTGCTTTCATGGATGTTATTTGTGCATCCAAGTAAAATGAAATCTTTGACAATTTAAATGTTCTCCATATATCATGATGTTGCTTATTTGTCCAGTCATGAGAATTTCTGTTTTCTTTATGTTGAGGTGTAATCCATGCTGAAAGCTGTAATCTTTGATATTCATCAGTAAACACTTCAAGTTCTCTTTGCTTTTAGAAATAAAGGTTATGGTATCCGCATATTGCGGGTTGTTAATAAGTCTTATTCCAATCTCTTCATATAGTTCAGCGTCCCAGATTATTTGCTCAACATACAGATTGGGTAAGTATGGTGGAAAGATATAGCCCTGATACACAGCTTTCCTGGTTTTAAACAATGGAGTATCCCCTCGTTCTATTCAAACAACTGTCTCTTAGTCTATGTACAGGTTCCACGTAAGTATTCTGGAATTCCCATTCTTTGCAATGTTAGCTATAATTAGTTATGATCCACCCAGTTGAATGACTTTGCATAGTCAGTTAAACACAGATAAATATCTTTCTGATATTCTCTGCTTTCAGACAAGGTCTATCTGACATCAACAATGATAGCCCTCATTCTATAACCACTTCTGAATTTGATTTGAATTTCTGGCAGCTCCCTGTTGATGTATGATTGGAACCATTTTTTAATTTTCTTTATCAAAATTTTATCTGAGCATGATATTAATGATGTTCTTCAAAAGTTTCCACATTCTGTTGGATCATCTTTTCTTGGAAAGAGTACAAATATGGATTTCTTCCAATCAGTTGGCCAGGTAGCTGTCTTCCAAATTCCTTGGCATAAACAAGTGAACGCTTCTAGTGCTGCATCTGTTTGTCAAAACATCTCAAATGATAATCTGTCAATTCCTCAAGCCTTATTTTTTGCCAATTTCTTCATGAAGTATGGACTTCGTCCTTCAATACCATTGGTTCTTAACCATATGCTACCTTCTGAAATGGTTGAATGTTGACCAATTACTTTGGTACAGTGACACATATTCTTTCTACCTTATTCTGATGTTTCCTGCATTGTTCAGTATTTTCCCCACAGAACCCCTTCAATATTGCAACTTGAGCCTTGAAGTTTGTCTTCAGTTCTTTCAGTTTGAGAAATGCTGAACTTCCCTTTTGGTTTTCTAACTCCAGTTCTCTGCACATTTTATTATAATACTTGACTTTGTCTTCTCAAGCAGCCCTTTGAAATGATCTGTTCAGCTCTTCACTTCATCATCCCTTCCATTCTGTTTAGTTACTCTAAGTTCTAGAGCAAGTTTAAGAGTCTCTTCTGACATCCACTTTGGTCTTTTACTGTGCTTTGTTTTCTGTTTTTTTAATGGCTTTTTGCTTTCTTCATAAGGTCATCCTCCTATTTGTGTGGTATTCTGTCATAAGTGTTCAATACATCAAATCTTTCTTGAGGTCGTTTCCAAATTCAGGTGAGGAATACTCAAAGTTGTTCTTTCGTTCTCATGAACTTGTTTTAATTTTCTTCAGTTTCAACTTGAATCTGCATATGACCAATTGATGGTCTCTTCCACAGTCAGACCCTGGTCTTGCTCTAACTGATAGATTTGGTTTCTCTGTCATTTCTTTGCACAGATGTAGTTGATTTGATTCCTATCTATTCCATCTGGTGAATTTCACATGCATAAACTCCTTTTATTTGGTTGGAAAAAAAGTATTTGCAATGAATAAGTTGTCAATTTTGCAAAATTCTATCATGTGATCTCCAAGACCATATTTCCCAACTACCAATTGTGGCACTGCTGGATAATGCACTGAACTATAAGGTCAGTTTGAACCACAAGGTCAGCAGTTTAAACTCACCAGCCATTCCTCAGAAATCCTATACAGGGTTGCTCTGAGTGGTAATCAGCTCAACAGCAGTTAACAACAACAACAATCATTCTTGTTAATTTTCAACTTTCACATTCTAATCACCAAAATTATCAATACATCCTGTTTATTTATTTGATCAATTTCAGACTACAGAAATTGGTAAAAATCTTCAATTTCTTCGTGTTAGACATTAGTGGTTGGTGCATACATTACATGGAGGATGGGAAAGCCCATGGAAAGCTATAACACCCTCAGTAAAAACACACGGTATTTTTACATCAGAGATAAGGGAAACAGAGGTGATGGG